AGCACTGCCATGGAGGCAGGAGAAGCTCCAGTTACCATCACTGCGCTCGCCAGCCATGAGCCTGGCTTCTGGCTGAATGGCACTCCCCCGTGGGAGCACACTGACCGCCAGGGGCAGATCCTGCATTGGGCATCTGCCCCCTGGTGGTCAGTGTACATCATAGTGACCAGTCATTCTGTTGTTTGGTTGATTTGGATATTAGCCTTTTATTATATAGGATAGCTCCAGTCCCTCAGCCCGGCCTACACCCTTTTGCAGTCCAGGACCCCCCTGGGGAATGTCCACCTGCCAGCTTAGTCCCACTCTCCACAGGCAGACATACCCCAAGGGGTCCTTAGCACTGCCATGGAGGCAGGAGAAGCTCCAGTTACCATCACTGCGCTCGCCAGCCATGAGCCTGGCTTCTGGCTGAATGGCACTCCCCCGTGGGAGCACACTGACCGCCAGGGGCAGATCCTGCATTGGGCATCTGCCCCCTGGTGGTCAGTGTACATCATAGTGACCAGTCATTCTGTTGATTGGTCGATTTGCATATTAGAGTTTTATTATATACCGTTAGCTCTATTCCTTGTATTTGGATGTTCTATTTCCTTTTGATTTTGGTAGTTATTCTTAAAAATAGAAACATCCTTTAACTAAAAAAGTGAAATTAATTTATCTCTATTATCCTTCTGAATAATGAAAGGATTTTAGGATACCAAATTTAAAGAGTACCTTTTGGATTGTTTTCTTAGCTCTTGCTTCCAGTTCCTTAATATTCTCACCAGTTTTGTCTAATTTGCCACTTAACCCAATTTCTTTAGGGTTTTTTTTTAATCCAATTACTTTTTTTTTTTAATTTTAGAGGTTATATTTGGTTCTTTAAAAAAGAACCTAGTCTTTTTTTTTTTCAGTTTTCTCATTTCTTCTTGTAGATCTTAAATAATTTAAACACACTTGTGTTTACATATTTTTCATTGTGAATTTATTGTTACAGTGGCAGAGAGCATACATTTAAATCTGGAATGTGTGTAAGGGCAGGCCCCACATCACAAATTCTTAGGGACTCTATCTGTAGGGTTCTGTCAAAGAGCGACTTCCTTACTTTTCCCTTTCTGGTGCTGGGGCAGAGAGTAGGGCTATACCTCCCTGAGAGTCTGGCTTTAGGTAGGTCCTCACCTCTAGCTCCTCAGGCTGGCCTATGCTTTAATCCCACGTGGTCAGTCACTAACACTTGGTCATTACAGAAGGGACACCTCACCCTCCAGGAGGGCTCCAGCATCAGCTCTTGGCCTTACCCCTCCTGTTTTGGTTCCTTCTCTACCTTTGGCCCCTGGATATTTCTCTTATTTGGGGAGGGAGGAGCATTTATTCCTACATTTAAAGTGTTTCTAATTATTCTAGTTTAAACACATTTCTAGGTGTTTTGTGCTGGAAAGTTTCAGTTTATATAGACCTTCCTATATTGGCAGAAGCAGGAATCCCTAAATTAACTTTAAAAAACATGATCTTTGACTCTGAGCCTAGTGGAATAATATAATTTGCACAGAATATCTTGTTATGAAAAACAGACCTAAGATCAGTTTATTCCTTTCCGCCAGCTATTTCTCATGTTAGGTTTGCCAGTTTCGCCGTGTTGCCATTTAAAAGGTGTGTTTATGAAAGTAGAGTCGCGACTCCAGAAGGATTAAAGACGGAATAACGAGGAACACACTTGGATTCCAGAGTCATAGAACTTTCTTACCAAGTTGGTTTATTTTGGAATCAGCAAGTAACTTTCACAGCTTAGACCTATAAAACTGCTTACAAAAGAAAAGTGGAAAAAAAAAGTTTTCTGCACATAAAGGTTGTGAAATGATAAAAGCGCACACAAAATGCTGCCAGGATGATCTTGTTTTCACACCTCTGTGCCCACTGAGTCATTTCTCCCCCTAACCAGGCCCGCCCCCTCCCTGTCATCCCTCAGTACCACCAATTCCAGTTACAACAGCTAATCCTCAGGGGCACAGTCTGAGCCCAGGACCGCCCCCCCTCGCCC